ATTCATAAAATAACTGCTTAAATCACATGTAACCAATACTCACTACTTAATCTATCATCCAGAATCAAGGCCTTAAAAGCAAAGTTATTATATGTCCTTTGGGGGGGGGCAGGGGGCACACTTAAACACTGTGAAGGAAAATAGGCTGGAGATTTATTTCAGCCTGAGTTATATTTTTGTTCTAGTTTCCTTTCTGTTGTGCTAACCAAAAGCATCTTAGGGAGGAAAGAGTTTATTTGATTTATACTTCCAGGTCACAATCTATCATTGAGGGAAGGCCATGCCAACCCTTACTAGTAATGCTGTTCCCCAACATCATTGAATTAGTTTCCAGAAATATTGTTCACGTTCACACACCAATTCCAAGGCTCATTTCAAAGTCAAGGTATGCTGGCACTAGTTACTGTTTGGCTTATGTATGCCCTGGTGACCCTCACTTATAGTGAAATTAAAAGCTGGCACATTGTAACATTTTTGTGGTACAGAAACAAATATATTCTAGAAAAAAATGTAGACTTTTTATATTAAAATGCAATCTAACAAACGATGAGTACAAATGTTACTTTATATTTAAATAACTGGAATTCAGACCCAGGCCCTTGGAGTCCATGTTGAGTATGCTTTTAATACACTACAGCTGTCCTTACTCTCCTTAATAATGCTTAGCTAACTTTTTCATATAAAAAATAACTATAGTAATTTCCACATCTCAGACAAAATTCTGTTTTTAATAAGATACATGTGCATTATTACCCTGCTATGGTTGAATACATGTGTGTCCCCTTAAAGGTTTATATATTGGAGCCAGGGTAGTGGTATTGAGAGGTGGTATATAGTTTTTTTTAAATATTTTATTATTTTTATTTTATGTGTATGAGTGTATTGCCTGCATGTATGTGAGTGCACCCATGTCGTGCAATGCCATGGCAGTCAGAAGAGGGCTTCGGATTCCCCTGGAACTGGAGTTAAGGACGATTCATAGCCACCATGTGGGTGCTGGGAATCGAACCCAGGTCCTCTGCAAGAGCAGTAAGTGCTCTTAACCGCTGAGCCATTTCTCCAGCCCAGGCATATTGTTTTTTGTGCAATGCTAGAGCTCTGAGTTTTGACATGTAAATTCACCACCTATGAGTAAACAAGTACTGAGACAATTAAATCACATTTCTCTCAGTTTCTGGATAGCTAGTAGATGCTTACATAAATAAGTGATGTGTATACACAGAAAATAAAATTTTCAATACTTTATGTCAAACTGTGATTCTTTAAACAAGACAAGTGGACAGTTCTCACTCAGTGCTCATGAGACACCCTGTGTTAAATACTGTCAAGCTGTACCTGATGAATTCAAAGAAGGAATTTTAAGACAGTTGTTTAAAGCATGAAAAAATTGTCATCCTATTAGAGAGAGCTTCACAAACTGCTTAAGAAGTCCTCAGTGTCTGAAATTGCATTAAGAAATATTTTGTTGTCAGTAAAAAGAATAACAAACAGCAGTAACTTAAAACCACATGTAGACATCTCTTGTATATCCAGCAGTGGTCTTTGATGCTTCAAGTGTTGTTTCCTTTCAGCAATGGAATTCCCTCTGATTCAGTGGTCCTGCCTAGATGCACACCCTCAGAGGTCTTGGTGGATGAAGAGGATGGAGATGAAATGAGACTACAAACTTACCACCACAGGCAAGGCTGGGCAGAGGCAGAAAACAAGCCACATCTGTACTGCCTCACAGTCTTGTAACAGCTGTGTCCAGATCAGTGGTTTCCAAACAAGTCTACACATGGGAATGTCCTGGGGAATCAAAACACTCCTGATACCTGTGGTCCATCCTCAGAATTAGAGATTCCATAGGTGTGGCATATGATATGGCCTGGGATTTGGAATTTTAGTGATCTCCATTTAATTCTACCTAAAGAAAAGCAGAGGACCAAATGATCTTTATATAATTCTATTATACTTTGAAAATTTAGTTCATATCAACTTTAGCATGCTTTCTATGTTAATCTCATGCCATTTTGGGAAATCTAAGGAAGAACTATTTGTTTTGAATAACCCAACCAAGACCCAAAAGTAAAACGACAACATAATTATGTATCATTGTCAAGAGAAAATAAAAGTAGAAAGAATAAAGGCATAAATAAGCTGAGTTTCATGAAGTTTCTTCATGACAAGAATTAACTACCATATGGTTATTTTCAAAGCCACACCATCCTAAAACTGGACAGTGAAGTGGAGAACATGACCTACAATAAGCAGGGATTAAGTAATGACCTGGATTTGTATGGCCTAGCCCAGCTTCCATCTCATCAGATGAAGCACAGCAGCAGCTGGAGGGAAGAAGGAATTGGGTGCTATGCATGAATAAACCTGTAGAGATACTAAGTTCATTGATGTTCTTGTTGGCAGATATTTAAGTGACTTAGAGGCAGCCAAGTGGAATTACAGGTTTAATTTACTTAAGAGATACAAGTTATGCAGACATCAGCATTTAAGATTTTTATTTTATACCAGCCTTGGGCTTGATGTCCAGGCCTTGTAATTGTTTTTTGTTGTTGTTGTTGTTTTGTTTTGCTTTTCCACAGTAAGTTTCAGTTGTGTTTTCTGGTGATGGTTCCTCCTTTTGTGGTGGACACAGTAACTATCCTGACTAAGGGAGAAAGAAGAGTGCTTTAAAAGATCAAAGCATCAAAGTACTAAATGCCTTTGCCACTTAACAAAAAATTAAAAGTCCTCCCCCAACAGGTGAGCTGATTGAAGCTGGAAAGTATGATCCTGTGTCAGGGATCCACAGTAAGAATGTGTAAGCCCACTCCAACACATGGGGTGGACATGTCTTAGGCAGGCAAGTGTCCTGGACTGTACTGCTCATTTGAAATCAACACAATGATCAGATCATAAACAAAACACATGAATGCCATCACTCAGGCCCTTCCCACCTTGTCATACAGTGTAATTTAATGTTAGCTCAAAGTTCTACCAGTTGTTAGGCAAACCAAGGCTTTAGGCATCTAAGTGGGGATAAGGTACCTAAGAAGTGGGTGACGAGTGAGCTGTCAGCAGTGGATGAAGGTAGGGTGGCAAGCAGTGCCCATGGTTCAGGGTCAAACAGAATGTTTTCTAACAGCTAATTCTCAAGGTCTTCCCAGGCAGAGCATGGTGGGCCTTCTGTAACCCTGACACTCTGGAGCTGAGCAGGAGGATCACGAGTACCAGGTCAACCTGGAATACCTAAACTCTGCCTAAAAAGAAAGAAAAAAAAAAACAAGTAAATAAACACACAAAGAAAAAAAATTTCCCAGTCCTATTGAAAGCTGACTACAATTCACCAAAACACGGTGGTAAACTGAAGCCGTGGTCTCGATTCTCTCCAAACACAAGACAGCATTCACACGAATGTGCTCTTCCAGCAAATGGCACTGGCGATTTGGTTTTCCTTTCAAGTGAGGACTCAGCCAGTTGCTTATTCGTAGGCTTTAAAATATGAAGCTGAAAGAGAGCTGTTCTTTCCCTCTGTCCCCTACTTTTGCTCCTCTCCTCTGGCTTCCACCTTGCTTTCCCTCTCTAGCACCTCATTCTTTGACATGCTCATGTGAGTAGAAACCAGTTGTCATATTCTGAGCTGCTTTAATGAAAAACAGGGATCTGATGAAAGCTTTTGGCCAACATCCAAGGAGGAACCGAATCCTATCAAAAATGCATGTGGATGGGCTTGGACCCACCCTTCTTTTTCCAGTCAAGCCCAGAGATGACACCAGCCCTGGCTGATGCTGTGAATGCAGACTTGTGAGAAGCTTGAGAGGCAAGGGACTCAGCCGAGCTGGGCCTAGATTCCTGACCAAAGGACTATGTATGTAGTAAGTTGTGTGCTTCAAGTTGCTCAATTTTGTAGTAATTTACTACTTATTCATAGAGAACTAATACAGTGTCTTTAAAAAAAAATCACAAAAGAGCCTCATACATCCCATATTCTTGTTACAGTTTTAACTAGCATTTCTAGGTAAACTACATGAAGTTTTTAACTGGCTATACATTAGGACCACCTGGGAAGTATCTCTACTTCACAAAGTCAGTTTGAATTGGTCTAGGGAAAGGTCCCTGTCTCAGTAATTTTCAGAGTCCCCTAAGTATTACTAGTGGGTAGATGAAGAATCACAGACTTAGCACAGTTGAATTTATTAAGCACTTTCTGAGTGACAAGTGTGAAAGTGGTAAGACGGGATAGGGCAGGGCACGCACTCTGCCTTCTAGGTAAAGAGACCACCATGCAAAACCTTCACAACAGTGGCAAGAAGCCTTTCCTCTTCTCTTCTAGGCCCAAATAACATTATTCCTGGGAAATAAACAGGGCCTGTAGAAAAACAGCTGATTTTAGGGTTGGAGATGGGAAAGTAGAAGATGAGGTTGGAACATCTTCTTATACAAAAAGTGAAAAAGGGCAGGAAAGAAGGAGAAAGAGGGGGAGAGGTGGTGGAGGGACCAGAAAGGGGGAGGGGGACTGAGGAGACAATACAAGAACACAAATACCAGGAAGTGGATATGACTGGGGGCCATTTAAAAAGCTGCCTACTCCAGACATTTAATAATATTTGGCTTAAAAATTAGCCTAACCTTAAAGGAATCCCAAATAGACTGTCTTAGCATGAGGAGCAGACCCACCAACGCAAAAGGGATGCAGTGTGCTTTGATAGAGATGAATGAGAAGTCATCTGACAGGTATACTCACTAATAATAAATCTATATTTTTGTCTAGTTATCTAACTACAGATGAATTAACTTAAGGCTGTTTAGATGAGATGATATCAAAGTAGGTCCATCTGTATAGATGCAGCTTGCACACAGCTTTATAATTAGGTCAATGTACTTTTCAAAGATTAAAAGCGATCCTCTTTCATTTCCCTAACATTTTACTTATTCAAGTTCATAGAAAATGGGCCAAGCGTTTTAAGGACTCAACACAAAATTTAATTGTAGTAAAGAGCAGGTATCTAACAGTACATCTAAAGGAAAAATGCCAAGGAAAGCAGGCAAGTTTGTGTACTGATATTAGGCTGGTGAAAGTCAATTTAATTTTACTTCTCATGTTAGAGGCAAAAGCTAGTGTGTTGGACAACACTGAATACTGGTGCTAACAACCATAATTTAAGTCTTCCCCAAAGATCCTACCAATGCTAAAGTACTCATTCATCTTCGTTCTGCTTACTGATTATTGCTAAGATAGCACATCAAAGCTGTTTAACGATATTTAGCAAAATTACACAGAAGTACCAAAAGCAAAAAGAAACCCTTACAAAGGTGCAACACCCCTGGAAGCTGGTGTTGACAGCACATTACAAACAACCCTGATCTCGGAACTTCTATTCCAGCTCCAAAATGCCACCGCCAAAAAAATCAATTTGTTTCTGTTGCAGAGAAAACTAGCCTCCCATTTTGGAGCACTGCCTTTGATAGCACCTCTTCCCTTGTATCATTTCCCAAATATTTGTTCAGAAATATTTGTCCCTTGTAAAGCGTGATACAGTTTTTACAAAAAGACCGAGGTTATAACACAAGGTTATAAAAAGTTGCAACTAAGGTTGTGTTTCAAGTACTTTATGCCAGGGTAGAAATGACTTAGGAACACTCTATTATGGTTTGCTTTTAAAAAGATGAAACAGCACCATTGGGGAAAGTCTGCCCTTTCTTTCAGCTGAGATGGCAACTCTTAGTGATATGATTCTAATCACTAAAACCTGAAATACAAAGTCATGATCAGCTACTCCTACCAAACACAAACAGTTGTGTGTCAGGCACTTTTAGTTACAGTAGACATGAAGATTAAAGCTAGTAACAGCCTGAACTATTGAATCTCTACAGCCCCTTAACAAGTCCCTGAGCCATCCCCTGCTCATGCATTAACTGTGCTCTATAGACAGATGACATTTCAGTGGCTAAACTGAAACATGATTGAAAAGAGGTAGGCCTCCTAAAACTCCAGTAAGTTTTCTTTTCGTAGTAGTATGAGTGAGAAATTCTACAATTACTGTCTGTGTATTCTAGTCTTGAGCAATTGAATAAATATACTGAGGCTAATAACAGTCAGGTTTCTTTCTGCTGAGGGAGTTAGAAATATGGCAAAAGGGAGAAGCTAGAAAGCCATGTTAACACGGTGTTGAAGGAATCTGTATAAACTTGTGGTTTCTTAATAGGTTGAAACAGATATTTGTGTCTCTGCTGAGATATACAAGAAATGACATATCAGTAGCACTGAGCAAACCTGGCACTCAGCTCTTGGTTACGGAACACTATTCTTCATGGAAAATAAATAAGGCTCCTCAGAAAACTAGCTGATTCCAGGGCTGGAGCTGAGAGAGGAGAAGATGAGCCTGGGACATCTTGTACCAAAAATTAAGACAGGGCTAAGAAAACAATGATGACACAAGAAAAGGATACAGACATTCTGGGGATCCCACTGGTCAAGTCGAGATGTAGAACATTAAAATAATCATAATGGTTTTAATCTGTTGACCAAAAATCATGAGCACACTTAAATGAAAAGATAAAGGCAGAAGGGAAAAATGCTCTTTCCACAGAATATCAATGAATAAATACTGCTGGAATGACTGACAGAGCATCACTCACCCAGAGACTGGGACAGGCAGGCTTCCGTGTCCTCTGGTCAAGTATTTGGTTTCTATAGGGCCCAATGTCATGTGAACAGCCCTCTCACTGGAGATTGTTCTTGCTGTGGATGGCATCACCCTGCTACAGAATCTGAAAGGCTTGTGCTATGATTCTTCTATCGCAATTTCTATGAATTCAACATCACACCTTTCCCCACACTAATACTAGGGTCTGCTGGGTCATATGATCCAAGAATCAGGACCACGTGGGCAGAAACCTAGAATGGTTACAGGGCTCTTTCTTGCTCTGGGCCTCTCCAGATTATTGAAGGATTACTCCTTGTAGAATGCATTGCCTCTAGAACCAAAAGAAACCTATTAACTGCTATACATCCTCATTGCTGTTATAGATGCAAAATCGCAAATTTCTTTTTCACTCAGGATATTTTAATATTCCTTTGAGCACTGGAAGTTTAAACATCTTACTTCAGGTTCGAGGACTGGGGGGATAGTTCAATCAGTATTTACCTTGAAAGCATGAAGACCTGAGTTCAGTCTCTAAAACACACATAAAAATGCAGAGAATGGCAGTGTGCAGTGAGTCTAGCTTAATTTGGTGATCTTCAGGCCAATGGAGACCCTGTCACAAGGGAAGTGGATGGCAGTCCTGAGGATGACACCCTAGGTTGTTCTTTGGACTCTACTTGTGTACATACACACACCCACACACCCACACACCCACACACAACCATACATGCTCATAAAAAACTAGGAGAGCTTATAATCACCATAGTGTTTACTGCCTTCCTCTTGGAGCACATACCTTACGAAGGCCTTCAGCATAGTGGCTGTCTTTTTCAGTAAGATATGGTCATTAGAACGTCTCAAGGTGGTATTCTAAGGGACATTTAAATGATTCAGATTAACTCATTCTACTGTCATTAACAGTGCAGGAGTTAACAGTCTTGAGGGAAACTTCATTCTAAATGAGTATTGTCTGTTCTTTGTGAACTATTTCCTGTTTCTTTTTTAAAAAAATATTTTTATTATTTTAATTTTATGTGTATGAATGTATTGCCTGCATGTGAGGGCACCCGTGTTGTGCAATGCCGCGGAGGTCAGAAGAGGGCTTCGAATTCCCCTGGAACTGGAGTTAAGGATGGTTTGTAGCCGCTATGTAGGTGCTGGGAATCGAACTTGGGTCCTCTGCAAGAGCAGTCAGTGCTCTTAACTGCTGAGCCATCTCTCCAGCTCCTCCTGTTCCTTTTTCAAATTGGAACAGAATAAATGCATTTTCCAAGTCAGTGATTACATACTTTGTATCTCTGGGTGTAGTAATCTGCTTTAGCATCAGTCCAGGCTACAGGCTGAGACTAGGGTTAGTACTTGTAAATCAGCAATTACAGACATTCTTAAGGATCCATCCATTTTAAAGACCAGCCTGGCAAACCAATGGCATAGGCCTGGGAACACCTCTCCTCCTTCCTATACATGGGGGCACTAATCTCTATCATCCCCTCAACACACTTTTTTTTTGGTCTGATTTATCTTGGTAAGAATGAGGCAAATTCAGTTCTTTTGGCTCCTTCTACCATGATAGCTTTCAACCCATAGAACCAAGTGCCTTTAATATTCAGTCCCAAGCGTCCGTTCATGGTTCCTGCCAGTACATGTCAGCCTGTCTCCGTTGGGTTATGCTAGTATTTAATCTTAGTTATTGGCTTGGCAGCCAGGAAAGGAAGTGAAGGGAAGTTCTGGGAGGAGGGAGGAAGGATTCTTGCCTTGTGGCAAGAAGCTTCATCTTCCAGCACAGCAGGCATGCCAGTTAAGTCAGAGGGAGTTGATGGGGTACCAAATCCAGATAACTCTATCTAATATTCTTAATCTTCATATTAAAAGACCTGCCTAAATATTCAATGTGCAAATGTCAATGAGGCTCTGTGCCTTTTAGCAATTAGCTCTAGAGCTGTAGTTGTATCAGGTTATGTCCTTCTACTACAAATAATAAAGGCCTCTTTATAAGTTACCACAGTGCTTCTCACACTTAGCTATTAATTGCTTAACAGCTAATTCTCATTTTCTTCCCGCAGGACTCTCATAGAAGCTGGTGGTAACCAGTCAACTCTTGTCTTTGTAGGCATCATTCTCACTCTATTTTTTCAAATCTTTGCATCTTTACACCTACCACAGAATTTATCTCCACTGGGACACTGTCCAAGTCAACACTGTGAAATTAAGCAGCAGTCTTATGCCAAGAACTATGAATGCTCCACCTACCAAAAGGGAGCATCTTTATGGTGTTTCAATTTTGTCATCTGAGGAGATGCCAAGATGGGATTAAATGTGCAGGATTTTGGGGATGGGGAAGGAGCTGGGAAAGACTGGGTAGATTATCACATGACAGCACAAGTCTGAGTCCAAGTGTAAGTGACAGGAAAAGTAATTGAGAGGAAGTATCTTAGACTACCACGAAGCCTAAGGAAGGCCTACAAAACAAAGGGGGAGTCCTTGAACCTTAAACTAGCTCTTACAGGAATTTTATGTCTAAGAAACAGCCTTGCCTGACCATTTCTGTCATGCTTAGTCATGGAGATGAGAGGACACTGTTCATACAAACAGTGATGGATTTCAGAGTACAGTGGCTGGCCCTTGCACCTTGGTTAATTAACATTCTAGTAGTTGGGAATCTCTAAAGTGCACTCTTACAGTAGTTCCATCATTCCAATAAGCAGCAATTAAAGCCAGGTAGTATGCGTCCATAATCCACACTCTGAACCACTGCTCTGGGAAGCATCTGTGAGGATGGCAGAGATCTGCAGTAAATGGTCCTTTATCACACTGAGAAGATACATGAGACTTAGCCAGGCTGGTAAGAACGAGCGTTTAGGCTTTCTTAAGGATTTGGTTCTTCTTTCTATTGGGATGGGGTAGGGTGTATGGCACATTACAGATTAATGTATATGAGCATGTTATATATGCATTGGATATACACATGAATAATTTATAGAACCATATGTAGCTTTAGATTCCTGAGGTATAAAAGCAGCTAGCAGATTTGAAAACAGATGCAACAAAAAGCACTTCCTGGACTGCATATATGGTAAGATGGGTCCCTTGCATATATAGTAAGATGGTCAGAAAATGGTGGCAAAGCATTTACACCTTCTAGGGTATAAGAATTAGAAAATCAAAAAAGGACTCACACAGTTCATTGTATATTACATTCTTCGCAAAATCTTATCGTGGTATAAAGCAATAAAAATGCATTTAAGTTTTTACCATTTTCTTATAAGTATTGGAAATAATTTTCTATTATTTTTATGCAGAGGTGCTCTTTTCATTTAGGCTGTATTAAATACATATTTACAGTCTAAATGAGGACCTTTTTTTGTTTTGGGATAGGTCTCATGTAGCCTTGAAATCCTAATCCTCCTGTTTCCACCTCCCAAATGCTGGGAGTACAGGCATGCACCACTATGTTCAGCTTAAATAAAGACCTTAACCATTATTTGCTAAACAATTTTTAATGACTAGTGTAAGCACTCAATAATCAACTTAAAATGGAATTCTATGGAGCACCATCATTTTTATTGTAAAAGGGTACATAAACATGAATTAGTTATTTTATAGGACATTGCCATGATTAATACTATTTTAAAGATATGAGAAATAAGGCACAGAAATATTTGATTTCCTTGGTCCACAGGAGATCAAATATAAGCTGAGATATTTAATCAGATTCTTAAGTACCTCTGTCCATTCACAACACAATTCTGCAATGGTGGTATGTGTTACACAGAATATTAAAACCTAGATATGAGAGGACAATATCAAGAGAATATGATATTGCTGTCTGAAGGCAGAAACTGTTCTGTATTTATGAATAACACACAGTGGAAAATCAGTTGACATGATAAAAATTAGTTGAAAAAAATGTGGAGAATTATGAATAAAAACTTTAGAACTCCAAATTCAAAGTCTATAGAAAAATTATCATACTATTACTTATTATTTTCCAAGAGGATACACAAATCAGAATGGAGTTTCTGAATTCAGACTTTCACTTCTTAAGTCAGGAAGCCACAAAGCAGAAAATGTAAACACAGCAAAAGCAAGAATTTGGGACCAGGGCTTTTGTCTGTAAGTAGGGAGCTATATTTACAGATTAGCACCATTCAACTTTTCTTCATGTTTAAAACTAGATTCCAAATATATGCTTTATACTTGGAGGGCCATAAAAACACAGACTAGCTTGTAGAATTAGACAGTGGATGTCGTTACAATAAATGGTTTTCTATGTTCTTTAGTTCTGAATTTCAACTAATGGTTCTGAATAGTCCTAAAACAAGATTTTAAAATACAAATTAGAATTAGTGGAAGAGTTTCACTAGCAAATAAGTACTTGTTACATATCAGAGGTTTCAGTGAAGCTCTGAACACTTAACCTAAAGATAACCCACATCCTCCTTATTTAACAAAGGACTTAAGATAACATACCATGAACAATTATGATACTGGATGCCTGTTCTAGAAAATTATACTAAAAAGAAATGTGGGGACTTGGTGTACTGCTCAGTGGTAGAGTGTGTGCTTAGGATGTAGGTTAGAATGGATGTTGAACATGAATTTCAAATTTGGCTCAAGTTTCTTGAGAGTCAAATCAATGAGATACAAAAACTTTTCTTGAGCCACGGTGTGGTGGTGCATGTCTCCCAGCACTCAGGAGGAAGACGCAGGTGGAGCTCTGTAAGAGCAAGGCCTCCCTGGCTTACATAGTAAGTTCCAGGCAGCTGGGACTACAGGGAGACCCTGCCTCAAAAAACAAAAACAAAAACAAAAACAAAACAAAAACTTTCCTTGGAGCCACATTCCAAAAAAATCTTAAATGGGACTTTAAAAAAATTTATATAAAGGGCACTGTATGACACAGAGGACAGTGTCCATGATTGTAACATGCAGAAAACATTTATTTTTAAAAAAACGGTATTTCACCAGGCATGGTGGCACACACCTTTAATCCCAGCACTCAGGAGGCAGTCAGGTGTATCTGCGGCAACAGGGAGAGCCTGTATCAAAAACACAACACAAGGTTATTTCAAGCAGCTTGCTTATATGCAGAGGGTTCAAATGCAAAAGCTACTTGGTGAAGCCAACAGTGCGAGGAACTGTTTTTATTAGTTACTTTTCTGTTGCTGTGATAAAATACCATGACCAAGGCCACTTACAGAAGGAAGAGTTTATGTGGTTCCAGAGGGACAAGACTCAAGGAAGAGTTTATGTGGTTCCAGAGGGCCAAAACTCCAGTATGGTGGGGGAGGCATGGCACAAGGCAGCTAGAGCAGAAAGCTGAGCATTCACATCTTCAAGCAGGCACAGGAAGCAGAGACAAACTGGAAATGGGATTTGATGATCTACTCTCAAAGCCCATCCCTAGGCCACACCTCTAAAATGTTGTGACCCTCCCCCAAACAGTGCTACCAAATGGAGACCAAGTGTTCAAATACTTGGAGCTTATGGGGGACAGTCTCATTCAAAGCACATTTTGTAAACAAAGTTTACAAAGACTTCTAATATGTGGATTGGCTTTCCTGTTGGAACTGCAATTCTTTACCGCCCCCCCACCCCCCACCCAAGAACATTTTATTAGCAAATATTTGAATGCTTACCTTGTGCCAGGCATTGGTCTAAGTACTTTATATTTCTACATTATTTAATCTTTATTCCAGCAAGACTAAAATCAACATGGGCAACATAACTGTCCCCATTTATTTTACTGTTTATTTTTACTACTTATATTTTAATTATTTTTAATTTAAATTTTCATGTTTTTGAAAATGTCATTCAACTACTGTTTTTACATAATTTCTACCTCTTCCCCGCACCCCCAACTCGTCCTATCCCCTCTCAATATCCTGACTTTTTCTTTTTAATTGTTACATATATATATATGCACACACACACACACCCTATTGAGTTCATTTAGTGATGTTAGTATGTATAAGTGTTTAGGGCTGACCACTTGCAATTGGATAACCTATCAGGGAGTTAGACCCTGGACAGAACTAATTCTTTCTCAGCAGCCATTAATAGCCTGTAGTTCTTCATCTAGAGGTGAGACGTGAAATTTCCCTCATCTAAGTTGGCGTATCAGCTAGTGCTGTCATTATACAGGTCTTGTTCAGGCAACCATATTGTCGAGATCTCATGGGTGCAGCTTTCCTGTCATGTCTGGAAGACACTATCTAGCAGCCAGCATCCTGGTCCTCTCTTACAATCTTTCTACCTCTTCTTCTATTATGTTTCCTGAGGTGTAGGAGTTGCATTTTAGATATATCCTGGTCCTTAATTCTCAGCATTTTGACCAGTTGTGGCTCTTGGTAATCATTTCCATCTATAGCTAAAAAAGGTTCTTTGATGAAGGGTGAGAGCTGGGTTTATCTGTGAGTTTAAAGATAAGCTTTAAAAATATTCGTCTAGAGAAATGACAATAGGTGCTTGCTCCTGTAGGGTCTATGACCTCTCCAGTCATGGGTATTTGGCTAGGTTTACAGTACGAGTCATGAATTCCCTTCTACTAAGTGGGCCTGAAGTCCAATTAAGACAGTTGTTGGTTACCCCCAAGATAAAAGTGCCACTATTGCACCAATGCAGATATCTTACTGGGCCAGTCATTGTTGTGGCTCATAGGCTTTACAGCTGGGTAGGACTACTGACTGCTTTTCTTCCTTGGCAGCATGCACAGTACCTTTTGGTACTATGAGAGCTGGTTGTTGGGGAGGAGGTTTCCAGGTCAGTTTCAGCTTGATTCCTCCAAGTCCTGTGGGACAACAATTCTTATTTGATGATTGGAGAATCCAGCATAGAAATGAAACGCATCTTGACATAGCAACCCAACCAAGTCATTTAAGGAACAAGACTGATATCTGAGTATGAAGATAAAGCACGGAAGCTCACTGACTCTCCAAACTTTAAGAGGTTTGAAGCCCACAGCTTCACAGGGATTTTAGTCATCCAAAAAGGTGTCCTCTAACTACAGGGACTTTGCTGCACGTGCATGTTCAGGACATGCAGGAAATTAAGAATTATAAATGCAAAAGTTATAGTGTTAAAAACAGAAGGTAACCAATGTTCAGCATTATGTGAACAAAATTCTATAAACTACACAAAGCAGAAATATATAGCCACTATATACTGACTGTGGAAAACAAAAACCATGAAAACCATAAAAACCAAACCAATCTCCCTCCCCCAACTGGTTCCAAAATATATGGAAATAGTGCTGGGCAGGCAAGAAACCTGATCTACTTCTCCTGCAATCTACACCGAGAACGTAAGGCTAAAAAATATCTAGAGAGGGCATCTAGTCTGCATAGACATTCTCATCCCATTTTCAAAGATCTCTATTTTAGATCTCTAGTCTAGCTTGTTCTTATCTCAAATCTTAGCACCCACAGTCTAGGACTAATTCTTTTTATCTTATCAATGAAAATGATGAATCACTACTTTCCTGTAGATAATTTTACATACTTGGAAACCATTAAGTAACTAGATTCCTTTAATGAGATAACCACAATGTATTAATCTCCAAACATCTTTATTTTTACACACACACCCATGTCAACACTCAAAACCTTCCAACCTTTGGTATTTTAATACAAGCTTCATAAATACCCAGGATTTAATTTATTTCATTTGCTCAAACACTAACAGTTACTGGGCTAAGGAGCAACACTGTATCTTGAAATCAGTTACTTAAAATGATAGTAAATTCAAGACTAACAAGATTGTCTCAAAAAATAAAATATAAAATTGCATCTCTCAACTCTCACCAGCAGAGCTTCCTCATGCAACTGAGGGTGATTAACACAGAAAACCACAACTGGCCAAAATGTAAAGAATAAGAGACTGGAGAACATGTGTCCCTGGTCAGGACTTCTATATTAAACCTCACAGAGCTTGGGGACCATTGTGGAAGAGCTGGTGGAAAGACTGTAAGAGCTAGGGGTAGTGGATGACCACAAGGAAACAGTTTTCCAGGCTCCTGGGATATGCGTCATATGAACTCACAGCAATGGCAACAGAAAGCACAAGATCCATGCAAACTCAAACCAGATAAAAACCCAGTATAGAACTTGGGAAAAGGGTAAGAAGTCCCAACCTTAGCTGAGGAACTATTGGTAGCTGATGACTGTTGGGTGAAGGAGAGTTGGTTTTCTTTAAGGGAGTGATGCTAGATAGGCTGACCAGGTACCAAGTGGATAGACTCATACTAGGGGACATCTGGGAACACAAACTTGACTCATAGGCCTTAACATTTATGATAGAATGCATGAAATCCAGTGAGGGTGGGGTCTAAATATAATTAAGATATACTGTATGAAATGCACAAAAATTCAATAAAAATATATATTAAAAAATCGTAAAGTTACAAAGGACCAGGACTATATAGCTCATTGGTAGAATACTTTCCTAGAATGTACTACACACTTGGGTTTAAACCCCAGTATTGCAAAAACAAGACAGTGACGTTCTTGTCATTGGAGCAATGATTTCATATAGTTTATATTTGAGTAGGAAGACAGTAAACCAGTAAACAAATATCGGACTGAAGTAAGAGCTGTGGGAAGCAAACGTGATAGTGGTGGGGAGGCCCTCTGTGACGGGCAGTACTTGTTTTGAAATCTAAGAAGGCATTAGATCTACAAAGATATGAACGAAAAGTTCCAGTAAATTTTTGACTAAAAATTTAAATTAAAAAATTACATTTAGGGGCTGGAGAGATGGCTCAGTGGTTAAGAGCACTGACTGCTCCTGCAGACAACCCGGGATCGATTCCCAGAACCCACCTGGCAACTACGAACTGTCCTTAACTCCAGTTCCAGGGGAATCCAAAGCCCTCTTCTGACCTCTGCGGCATTGCAGGACACGGGTGTACTCACATACATGCAGGCAATACACTCATACACATAAAATAAAAATAAAAAAATTTTTTTAAATTACATTTATTTATTTGTGTGTTGGGGGCATGTGCATGCCACAGTGTACCTATTGGAGGTCAGAGAACAACTTGCAGGAGTCAGTTCTCTCCTTCTGCCGTGTGCGTCCTGGGGATGGAACTTAAGCTTGACAGCTAGTGCCTTTACTCACTGAGCCATCTGGATGGCTCCCTAAGTAAAGTTTAATGAGTAATTTAATTTTGCTATATATTTATACGTAGTACTTCTGAATTATGTAACCTTGCATTACTCTCTATTGAGTTTCTAATTCTGTTTTCTAAAAAAGTTTTCATAAGCCCCTTCATTGGTGTATCATTAAGTTTTAAGAAACTCGACTTCTGGGGCTGGAGAGATGACTCAGCAGTTAAGAGCACTTGCTGCTCTGACAGAGGATCCGGATTTGGTTCCTAGCATGCACATGGCAGCTCACAATCCTCTGTAACTCCAATCCCAGGAGGATCCATGCTCTCTCTGGCATTGGGCACACACATGGTACATATATATACATGTAAGCACTCATACACAAAATAAACATTTTTTTAAATATGAAAAAGCATGCCTTCTAAGTTAAATAAACATTTCCTAGTAATATTAGCTAATATTAATACTTTAAGTGCTTCTGCCCAATATCAAATAATGGTTAAAAAATAACTATAATTGAACTAAAATTGTTTTATTGGATATCTCCAAACAAGTTGTCTAGAAAGCATTCTGATGGATACTGTACTCTAGCAGGATGAACCACTGAGGAGTTGAGGATGTAGTAGCCAAAGGGCCCAGCAGAGATGCAGATCAGTTATGCACGTGGGATGAAGACAAGCCGTCAACTGGCAAGGCTGGGAGCCTTCCCCAGCACTCCAGCTCTTTGAGACATGCTGCCACCACCTGGGCAGTAGGCAGTTTTGAAGTCAGAGGTTTTAGTTATTATTTGATTTTAGTCATTATCAGTTAACAATGATAGAGACTAAAACATACCTTTAACCACGTGAAATAAGCATTTTTTGCCAAGTTTTTGAACATTATAAATGAGCAGGGATTTTGGTGATGTTTAGAATCCTGCTTTACATTTTAAGTCTCTGGCTCCTTTCTGTAAAATAGGGGTTAGGAACACAATCCACCAGGGTGGTTTAATCACAGGATGGATTAGTGACAGTATTTGAAGTTTCTACCTCAGTACCTGATACATAGAAAGTACTCAAATGCTTTTTTAAAATTATTCTTTGGCATGACATTCCAAATTAAAAAACATAATTACTTAACAGTTAAAATGCACCTAATAAACGTATTTGCATTGTGTTGTGATGAAAAGAAAATTAAAAGAAAAATAAAATGTTACAAAACTAAACTTCAGAGATAAAAACCAATTCCATCATAAGAACTCAAATATGTGAAGAACAAAATAAGCAAAAGTACAGGCGAGAGACCTTTCAACGTCTCCTAATCAGAGTAAATATATTATTACAGAAGAATCTTCCTTCACTCCAGGGGCCACTGTGTGAGTGATTTTAATCTGGAATAGACAGTTTCTCCAAGTACTATCTCCATGGGAACTGCCCTACCACCATTCTGAGACACAGCCCAGGCTGGCCTCCGACTCACTGTGTAGCTGAGGAAGATATTGAAACCCATAACTCTCCTGCCTCCACCAAGTATTGGGAGTACAGGAGTGAGCCCTATACCCTGCTACAACTTTCTTAAAAATAAAGCCAAAGTTATTCCTTGTTACCTAAAAATGGTATTCTGAAAGGCATTTGGGAGAATAAAAAACAGGGCTGTGGAGGTACATCCCTACAATCCACCACTTGGGAGGCTGATCCAGGAGGATACAGAGTTAGAGGTCAACTTGGGCTACATATCGAGAATCTGTTACAAACAAGCAAGACCACTAACACCAACACCCTCCCCCTCCAAAAAAATGGCTAAGAATCTTTTCAAATAAAACATTAAGACTTTAAAAAAACCTGCAATGTTTCCACTAAACAGTCAGAGAACTGGCCAAATACAGACCAATTTACTATAGGGGCCCAAGGGGCACTACAAGTTAGATAGGAAGCTTTCAAGACACAAAAGAGGAAACTAACTTAAGGGTGATTATATCAGAGTACTGTAGCACTCAAAGGCAGATCTGTAAAATAAGATTGTGAAGGGATGGTCTCAGACTAAAAAGAGCTATAGAGGCTTCCTCCCATCTTCTCTGGTGTGTGTAGCTGCAGAATCCTTTCTGTAGTCCCCAGAGGCTTCCTTCCTGAGTGCTACATCTTTATTTCCAAGACTCTGGTACCTTTAACAAGACATACAGCAGAGCAACTTACTGGGAGGTAGTACTTGAGGAAGCCTGTCTATTCAAGATTTGAATGAAACATCTCCAAAATGCCCTCTGGAGAGGGCGTTAAAAAATCTGACCCCCCAACCTGGATTCTCTACTTGTAATAGTTTTAAGAAATCAGTTCACTCTAGCAAGCGAAAATTTTATTGACACAACCCAGTTATGGGTTTGCTTGTTCTGGTTACTTCAGGTACAATCTAGGTCTAAATCACCCTACAGGCTTTCAAACAAGAATAAGAAAACAACTGCTGGTAACAACATACAAACATTAACACATACCCCAGGAGCAGTATTTTAGATCCTTAGATTTATCTGCCAAGTCTGTTCCTTGGTAAATAACAGTTACTGTTGTTACATTTCAATTATACGTGTCTCAGCTTGCTCCGGAAAGAACACTTTACAGTCTCTCAAGAATAAAAACGTGCTTTATTTGGCACACACCACTGAAGGTCTTGCAACATTTACCAGAGGTAGTCAAATACCGCAAGCAGTACAGTCAAGCGATCACAAAATTTGAGCCTCAACTAAACAAGAGCTAATCTTTCAGTTCCTGTTGATTAGAAGACTATTTAACGTACCCTTTCTGCCTGTTGACTTTTGCATCCTTTTATCTGTGTACTGAAATAACAAGTACTTCTGTGAGAACTCTCTGCCCCGACAGTTTAATTACTGAGAAGTTTACTTTGGGCAAGTATCGATCATTCTTTTGTGAAATGAATTAGGCTCTCAAATGAAAAGCAAACACAACCCCTTTCCCACAACGTGCTAACATATCCCTTAGTAACAAGGCTCAAGGATCCATGCCGGCCCAGCTGGGCTTTGTCTCTGGGACAGGAGGATTTGACTATTGTTCAAGCGTTAGAGAGAGGTCGGGTGAGGTGCTGGCTGGGACACCCGAGCCCCATTCGGTTTGAGGCCCGCCTCCGTTCTCGCGGCTCTTTGGGTTGAGTTCCCGCAAACTCCTCACCCACGTCCGGCTTCGGCAGGGGAGGCCCACTGCAGGTTCCTCTTCCGCCCGCTTCCCTGGGACGCGAAGCCTCCTCGCAACCCCTACGGCCTCACCTGCCGCTCCCCGGAAACGTCCGTGCGCCCCGCCCTCGGGCCACAGCGCGGGCGCCGCCGGAAGCCGGCCCGCGACTTCCTCACCTCGCTGCGCGTCCGGCTGGCCTGTGGGTGGGACGCGAGCGCCGCGGCTTCCGCCTTCCTGCTTCCGGCTGGCGGTGAGTGGAGTGGTTTTGGGCACCCGAGGGGCGGCGAGTCTTCGCGGTCAGCGGCCCGCCGGCAGGGCGGGACAAGCAGTACACTTCGGAGGCCCAGGGCAGCGGGGGACGTGGCCCTGGTCGGGGAAGGGGGTGAGCCCGGGGCCTAGAGTCCTAAGCCCGCTGGTGGAAACAGCCTGCTGCAGCGCCGGGGACTGCGCGAGCTGGTCTCGAGCTATCCTTGCGTGCTGCGGAAGAATGCTACTTGAGTGTGAGATGCGGGGTGTCTGGGGTGTAACTGAGAGGCCTGTGGACGAGAACTCTGCCACTCACCAGGTCTTCCGCGTAGTTCTCTGTTTGCAAAAGTTATTTTGCTTGCCTCAGGAACTTGTATTAGCTCCTTACCCGACTGGAGCAGGACCATCTCGGCCACCTAGCTACAACTGGCCGCGGGTGTGAGGAAATGAGCCAGGATAGTCGACGTCTTAAGTTTGATGTGTTTTCTGTTGAAACCAGTGGCGGTTTTTTTTTTTTTTTTTTTTGACGTGGTGGGGATTGTGGGTTACCATAACTCTTTCAGTTATCTTTTTCCTATAAGAAAAGCAAACAATGTTTATTAGAGAGCAAAGCGGTGTTTGGCCCTGTAATGATGTGCCCAGTCCAGAGAATGAATAATCTTTTTAGTATAAACAGTTCAAGCTTTGGGCTGGGGATCTTTGTCAGTGTTAGAACACCTGCTGAGCATGCTTCTAGGTCTTGGATCCTCAGCAATCGGGGTGCGGGGCTCAAGGTCTCTGGATATGGTTTGCATGTCAGTGAGGGAGCTTTTCTTATAAATGAATATCATAATTTTATTCAGATACGTAATTTAGTTCTTAAATAAGTACTTGATTCCTAGTAATTAGGATTTTCTTTCAGGGCCTTTGCAATGGTGGCATACTCAGATTGGGAAGAAATAGGTGTTAAAAAGCCTGTATGTAATATTATAGAAAGACATTTTTGCTTGTCACTTTATGTACAGTATATAGAAAATTTAGAGATTTTTCATTTATAATATTATTGTTTAAGTTGTGACTTAATTCTTTTTTTCTTTTCCAACTCATCCACTATATAGAATTTAAACCTCTCAGAAGTATATGGTAGAACTAAAGAAGAAGACAACTAAGGGTCATCTGAAATTGTGGTTGGCTCACTGATAATCCCAGGAAAAAAAAAATTAGAGATCACAACTTGAGCACAAGGTAGATGATTTTTAACATCTGAGCTGAAATTTTAAGTGGCTGTATGCAGTATGCATACCCATTCCCTATCTAGGTATTCTAATTCAGCCTGTGATTAAATACTGATTTATAGAGATATAAAAGATAAGAAAACCTACCCCTGGGGCAAAATAGAAAGTGCCACCCCAGTCCACACTCTACCGATGGCCCTCCCCACCACCTCAGAAAGGAACAAGATGTATAGCACTTTTTGTGGCTACATTTCTCATATTTATTATAGTTAGGGCTGTCAACTGAAAGCCTATGGCCTAGTGTATCATTTTTTGCTTGGCATAAATGTGAATAGAGCAACATGGCTTCCTTACTTCCCTGGTCTGGAAATAGCCATTGATTACTTTGTCTTCTCTGAGAATATTTTTTGCAGTCTGGCACAAAAAGTCAAACATGGTTTCATTTGTACTTTTGTTAATTAGTACTTAGCAGTACTAATGGTGTGTCAAATGACAAACAGGATTTGGTTGTTTCCTGAAATGAGTGCATAGAAATCAAGATTTCGTGTATTAAGTCTGCTGTTACATAGTTTGTCTTGCATATAAGAAGCATGTGAGGAAGTCCTTATGACAAAGTCCAGGTGCTTTTTTTTTAAATTTTTGTATAAATTTACATTTCCTAAGTGTGTATTCTTGTTGTAGTTGAATTTTATTTTCCTAAATGGAGATAATAGTCTTTATTATACTTGAAAGAAACTGAATGACAGTGGAATTCTGATTTAACATTGTTTTGCAGCTTTTAGAGAATTTAACACTGTCTTCTATTTTCCCCCCCATTCTCCACCCCTCAATTTCCTGACTACTACAGAGATGCTTGACATAAAGGCTTGGGCTGAGTATGTTGTGGAATGGGCTGCAAAGGACCCATATGGCTTCCTTACAGCAGTTATTTTGGCCCTCACTCCACTGTTCCTAGCTAGTGCCGTTCTGTCCTGGAAGTTGGCCAAGATGATTGAAGCCAGGGAGAAAGAGCAAAAGAAGAAACAAAAACGTCAAGAAAATATTGCAAAAGCTAAACGACTAAAAAAGGATTGAAGGAACAAACTGGCTCTGCAACTAGAGAGAAATCATTTGGAAAATTATGCAGCTTTGGAAGGACTCAAATAAGGTTTCATTTGAATTCATGGTAGTATGATTAGTAATTTAAATCTGACCCTATAAATTATGCCCTGACCTCAGTACTGTGGTAATTTTAGGCTTGGAATCTACTGTCAGGCATTATAAATTAGCATTTATTATACAGGTGGCACATCCCTAAATTCAAAACCCTTAGTACTGCAAAATCTGACCCTGTGTGCAGACATGATGCCAAGAGTGGGACATTCCACATGGAGTGTGTGATTAGGGTGGGGGGGGCTGCAGTCAAATGCAGTCGAAACACAGGTGCAGTAAAAATACATTAAATGATTTTCAAACTATATGAAATATAAATGAATTTTGTGTTTAGACGTGGATCCCTTCCTCAAGGTATTATGCAGAAACTCTACAACTTGAAAAGTAAGCATTTTTGTATGTTCAACTGTAGTGAAAACAGCTGACAGTTTGGAGCTTATGTGTTCAAGTGGAAAACAGCCTGCACAGAAAAGTGGCTTTCAATTATGAATCTTATTCAAATGGTGGTTTAAGATGGGATTCAGATCTGGACAGGGTGGTATTAGGAATGTAAAAGAATTATTCTCTGAGGTGAAAAATTTACCTTAGTTTAAAAGAGATATATTAATCACAATTTAAAAATCATTGTTTATTTCTTGAAATAAAGCATTTCTTTCTCAAAAGAAATATTAGTTTTTAGCCTTTGAGACAACTGGTAATTATGAAGACGTTCTGCATTTTTAAACATAATTTTATAACAAATTCTCATCTTGACCATGTAGAACATGTAGGCTAATTTTTGTACTTCTGAAAGCTCCCATTTCCTTAGTGGAGGTAGGAAGTGTAACGGGATCCAGAGCTTGCCATGGAAATGCCAAGAGCAGTTGGTGCCATGGGATCCGTTTCTTATGCTGACTACAACTGTGGAGGAGTTAAAAGTCTTTATCAGATAATTTGCTGATTATGTAAATATACTTTTATTTTTAACTAATAGGATAGTGCTGTTTGGTTAATTTTTATTCACACAGATTCAAAGCAAAAATTAAAGTTTCACATTTGTGAAATGATACTTCATTACTGAACAAGAAAGCTTCAAAATTTTGAAAAATTTTGCTGGGCATAATAGTGATTTTAAGAACGGGATAAAATGGCAATTAGAAGTTCAAAGCTGAAAGACTTTTCAGTGGTAAAATGACCTTTTTGCCTATTAAATAAACATGGCTTTTCTAAAGGTATGGTCCAGTAACTCTCTATTGCAGTATTTAATTGCTTATTAATGTCTTCTGACCTCTGGTAATGAATTTTAATTAGAGTAATTGTCCAATGGTGTAATGAAAAAAAAAAGAAACTAAATGTTGAAATAAATTTGATACTTTTTAATAAAGAAGTCCTGAGTTTTTGTCTTTTTTGGGAAGAGTAATCATTTCAGTTACATATGTTATCCAAGTTAGACTTTTTAAAGGTTTATGAATTTCAACTATAACCACACATACTCTTAAGTAGTATAGTGCTTATCAAAATTCAAGAACCCAAGGACTTCCAGGAATGCTGAATGGACCAGTATGAATAACACTTGATGCTATTATTTTTATGTTATCAGCTCCTCCTGGTCCCACTAAGATCATTCAGTATTTATTTGTGTTATTCAGGTGATCTAGGATATACTTTTTATGTCACTGAAATTAAACAAGACTTATATAGAATGGTTTTATATATCTGTTTATGGCTATATTTTAGTGTTGGAGTAAAAATATTGAAGCAAAACATTCTCAGTTGTCTATTAAAGCTGTGGTTTCCTTGGTTTTGTTGTGGTTATTTAAAGGTAAGTAATTAACTAAAAATCTGTTTTTCTATAATTTCTCTTGAATTTATTTTGTATGTGTGAGTGTTTTGCCTATATATATAAGTGTACCACATGCATGCAATGCCCACAGGCCAGAAGAGGACATCAGATCCTCTGGAATTGGAGTTAAGGGCCCTTGTTAACTGCCATGTGGGTGCTTGGAGGATCAGCCAGTGCTCCTAACCACTGGGCCATCTCCAGCCCCTCTCAATCTTAATATGGCAATTTTGTTTAAGCTATTCTTCAGCCTTTTCTAACATTGATGGAGCCTTTGTGTATATACGTGACTTCAATAGCTTTTATTATTATTGGTGCATTTTTGTGGTGGGTGTAAAGCAGAGAATAGAGGTTTGAATTGTTCACAAAAACCCATCTTTTCTCACTAACAAATAGTGCTATTGTTCGAAGATACCTATGTTGTCCAGAATACTTTCTTTTCTTTTAAAAAAAATTTAATTGTTCTTTTATGTGTATAAGTGTATTGCCTGCATGTGTGTGTCATGCAGTGCCTGTGGAGGTTAGAAGATGGCATAGGATTCCCCTGGAACTGGAGTTAAGGATGGTTGTTAGCCACCATGTGAGTGCTGGGAATTGAACCTGTGTCTACTGCAAGAGCAGCCAGTGCTCTTAACCACTGAACTATTTTTCCAGCTTTCAGGATACTTTATCTTTTTAAAAAAAATTTTATTTATTATTTTTATTTTATGTGTATGTATGTATTGCCTGCATGTACGTAAGTGCACTCGTGTTGTGCAATGCCCCTGGAGGACAGAAGAGGCTGTCAGATCCCGTGGGCCTGGAGTTACGGACAGTTGTTAGCTGCCATGTGGGTGCTGGGATTCGAACCCAGGTCTTCTGCAAGAACAACCAATGTTCTTAACTGTTGAACCATCTCTCAAGTCCCAGGGTACTTTCTTTTAAAATGCCTGTTTCTGAATTTCAGAAAATTCAAAAATGCAGTTTGATAACCTTTTTGTGGCTGGTTTTGAGGGAAAAGGAAGCAAGCTGTCTTTCAGTCTGCCTGTTACAAACAATTTGAGCCATAGTGTGTGTGTGGTAAGATTCAGTATGGTACATGTATGTACTGTATCAGACGTGTAAGTGCATTTTGAGTCTTTGGCTGGCCCAGAACCACAGAGAACTGCCCTGCTTCTGCCTCCCAAGGGCTAGGACTAAAGGCATGTGCCACCATGCCCAGCTTTAAAACTTCATTTCTTTACAGTAAGCAAACTGAAAATAAGTTCAGGAAGCTATAAGCTGGAAAACAAATGTTGAAATACTAATAAGAGTCCCTCCCTCCCTGTGAAGAGGTACTTTATATATTTGAAATCTGGTTCTATAATAGATGAAATCTGAGTCTACTTAGGAATGATTGCCTTTATGTTACATCTAGATAGAGGATCACTCTGGTTTACTTAATATGTGGAATAAATATTTAAGGCCAAGCTCTGTATTTCTCTTAACACATTAGCAGATGGTCAGATAGCAAAAGTTTTGAAAACATAAGTAGAACCTGTTTCTTTCCGTCATCATTTCTTGAAATCTCAGTTGACTGCCAAAGACTCTCCTTCATGCTTTTTCCCCAAAGAATATAAAAGCACATTTTGAAAAACTCTGGTTTGAATAAACTTGGATTATATCATAAATAGTGTGGTTAATGAAAACACGGATTAAAAAGATCAATGCAATGGTAGCTGAGTCAAGGTTAATTAGCAAATAAATGAGAACTTTAGCGTTGGCAAAGTAAGAATGGTAATGATTTCCTTAATTTTTGTTTTTTTTTTTACTTAAAGGCATAGCTTTTATGATTAAATCTGGAATCAGTTTTTGCACTGTAGAAGTTTGTATAACGTTTAAGCCATTACTGCAAAATCCAAGTATGCTCCGATGCATGTATAGCAGAGGCAGAGAAAACCAGTAAGGATTTAGCTCTTAAGTATGTACGTAATGGTAGGTATAATATTCTTTTGCTAATATGAACATTTTCACGTTTGAGACTAAACACTTGAAAAAATAGGTATGACGCTTGTCTTGAAAAGAGACATAATAAACATTGAAATGTCCAAAATAAAGCTGTTTAACAAAATGTGGTAGGTAGGGTATTATTTAATATTTTAATTCTGCTTTGAATGTTTCACAGGTTTTAAAAAGGTTATTTAGAAAGGCAGTAATTAGGACAAGATTATCTCGTTCATTATGTAGGACATTTAAGCTGTTGGGAGCATCACCTAACAGGACAACCAATCACTTTACATGTCACAGCCTGAGGGAAAGGAGCATGGATGGATGAAGAGCTTTCCATCTTCCAGTCTGCCTTGACAGCACATGTCTGCTAATAATGGTGGGCTAATATTAGCATCCTATTTTAACATAAGGCATTTTCCCACAAGGATTTTTGGCTAAGATTTTTCTTTTGCTACTTACGTAAAACAAGTATTTTTAAAATGAAAACTAAAAATTGATGTAATTCTGCCATATGCTAAAGTATTTTAAAACAGACTCTATGGCAAACATTTGCAAAAGATGTATATAGAATGCAATTAATAAGCTAATACGAACTGGCAGCAGAAGCACTCTGGTATGTTAAGATTGACAGAATTCCTCCAATCTAGACCAAAGAACATCTTAATCTCAATTCAGAATCTAAATTATACCTCCTTTTATATTATCTATTGGCTAGCTTCCCTTTTTATTTTTTATTTTTTGCTTTTATGGCAAAATAGTGCTTTTTGATGGTGTAATGTTTAGGAACTTGGAGAGATGGCTCAGCATTTAAGAGCTGCTGATCGATTCACACCCACCTGTAACTGCAGCTCCAGGGGTTCTGATGCCTTCTTCTGGACTCTGGTTATCTACACTCAGGCATGTGCACAAACACACAAAATTAGAAATCTAAAAGGAGAGAATGTTTAACTTGGTATTACGAGAACTAAGTTCCACTCTGCTGGAACATGAGAATTATCTAGTGGCTTTTTTGTCAATCAGTATGTTATGCTAATTTTGTCACTGGATTGTTTCCGTTTAAATGTTTTATAAGATAATTACATCCTTCTGTATTTTTTAGGAAATTTTTATTTTTACCTGCTATTTAGTAAAAATTTTAATACATGTGTGATTTTAGGAATTCACTATTAATACTTAACTAAGGATTTCTTCATTTTATTCAGAGCATAACAGTTCAGGTCATTTAGTAAGCATTTATTGAGTATATATGCGAACATAGAGAAAATTATTAAAAATAAAACTGAGTTGACCTTTTGAAGGTACTTGAGTTTGTAATCTGCGGCCTCATCTACATTTTTCTTTGGTGTAACTGTAGTTTCCCTCTGTTTTGAAAACTCTTGACAGTTTTCTTTTTCAAAGTAATTTTCACTCTTATGGAACTTCACTTACCCCATTTCTCTTTCACCGTATTTTAAGATGTTCATGATGGATTGTCACCCGTTAGTGTTAGTTCCTTTGTTCAAACTCCAGCCACAGTTCCAGCATAAGCTAGTTTTTGCCCCTTTTCTCATCAGTCTGTACAGCTTTTTTTTATTACTTCAGTTTTCTTTATGGTTGCATGATTTATACACGTTCACTTTATGATTAGTTATTCTGGAATTTTACCAGGTACCTTCTCCAGAAATAAGAATCAACTTCCCTCCTCTCCCTCTTCCCCCTTTCCTCGGCATTCCCTCCCTTCCTCTTCTCCCCATCCCCTCCCCTTCTTTCCCCCTTTCCCTGTATTCCCTTCCCCTCCCTTCCTCTCAACACTACCTGGGGGTGGTTCCTAAATGAGTCTGAGGATCTCACATGTACTAAGTATTCATAGCTGAATGACACTTGTCATTAATCTAAGAAGAGAAAACAGTTGTAAGCAAATTCATAAGCAGAACCATGGATGGTTTACTGAAGCACGGAATTAAGACCTAAAAGTATTTAGGCTTCTCTAGTTTATAATCTTACATTAATAATAATAAAAAATAACTAAAGCTGTATGGAATACACAGGATACAGAAAATGCAAACCAATCAGCTTTCAGCTTTTTATTTGTTAAAATAGTTATATCCATGTAAATGAAATGGTTTACCACAGCACATTCATTGATTGTGTCTTTTGCCATCTTGTGGCATCCAGGATCCTGGCTGGAAAGTTTTACCAGTGCTGGTGGGAGCCACCGAGTGTTCTTCCTTTCCAAAGTCTGGTGAGGAGGCATGCCCTTTGATTTGAGTTGCAACAGGTGAAGGCAAGAGTTCTTCACTAGTCTCTTTGCTGAGTTTATCTTTTTCATAAAACTCTTTGCTTTTTATTTTCATTTCTTCTCTGTATTTTTCATTCTTCAGTATTTCCTGCACACATAATTGGGAAACATTAAATTTCTAGTTTAAAACATCCAAAAGGTTTTGTGAAAATAGAGTCATTAAAAATAGAAGATATTTGACTTGCATTTAGATGTGTAAGTATGTACAGGATAAGATTGAAAAGGCTTTTTGATAGTGTTATCAGTGCTAAAATGTACCTCATATTACAATAAGAAAGCTAGGAGGGGCTAGAGAGAAGGCCCAGCCCTTAAGAGCACTGGCTGCTCTTGGAGAGGTTCGGTTCCCAGCACCCACATGGCGGTAAACAGCTGTCCATAACTCTAGTTCCAGGGAATCCAATGCTTTTTTCTGACCTGCTGGGCACTCCACCACAGGGGCACAGTTACAGCCATTTAGGCAATACACTCATACACATAAAAACAGTAAAATATTTTTAAAAGACATGAAAGAGCATAGAAAAATACTACCACAAAAGTGAAACATACATGAAATTTTACATAAGTTTAAACTTAACAACTACTTTCTGCCTTAATGCTAATTATCAGTGACTACTTTTCTATTGCAGATGGAGTGGTTGGAATGGCCTTAGACAGGCACTCCTGCCTACCACTATTGTGTGGGAATTAAGGTGTGAGTGCAAAATCCACCTTCTACAGTGCCAGATCCAAGCCCCACCTACTTCTCTTTTCCTAGAGTAGTCTGGTATAGGAATGTGTTCAGTGTGTTTTAGACACTAGCTGCAGAAAGGCATTTTGCTACTGGAAATGCTCCCTCAAATCAGTGTAAATGATTTGTATAGAGAAGTTCTCCAGATCTGCTCTTTCATCTAGAATCTATACTAAAAATTAAAATGAATCTGTTAACACTGTCTTTTATTGAATACAAGACTGAAACATTTAAGGAGCATCATTACATTATACCACTAAAAGAAGGCAATTAAATCCCTTTAAGTTCCAGGGTAGAGGGCAGAGTAGAAGCATCCTTTACAAAGACTAGCATCCTAGTTACAGGAGAAACCTGTAATTCTTATAAACTTTAAATCTAGCATAGGGATTTAGTCTGAAAGTTACTTCTCTTCCATGGCAAACTAACTAGAAAAAGATTCATTACATGAGTGCTGTATCAGGGAGCCATCTTGAAAACGGTCCTGTTAGGGACTAAATTACTGTGGGGATCAAGACAGAACAACTACAATTCAGGGTTTCTTGAGACCATGTTGGACTGCCTGGGAAACTCTTGAAGAATACTAATAACAAAAAGTTCAGTTGATAGCCTCAGCCAATAGACTAGAATAAATGAGATAAAGAATATCAATCAGGACTTGACAAGGTTGATGAAGGACCAGGTAATATAGACTAATAAAAGATACTAAGAACAAGACATGCAAAACCTATGGAACAACATTAAGAGACCAAGTCTAGGAATCATCAGTATAGATGAAGGAGCAGAGGTACAGGCTTGGGCATAGAAAACCTATTCAGAGAAAAAAAATTCCTGGAATTCTCCAAATCTTAGGGAAGATGTGGCTAGGCAGATATACAAGGCATTTAGAAATCCAAATAGACATGACCAGAAAAGAACCTGTCTGCATAATGCTACAATTAACTGTCAATCAGAACATAGAACATTGAAAGCTGCAGAGAGAAGTACCAAGTCAAAAAGGCAAGCCCATCATAAGAAGCAGATTTCTCAGTGGAAACTCTAAAGGCCAGTAAAGCATAGAAAGATGTGTTTCACTTGAAATACAGCTTAGATTGCTACTGGAAGCAATGTTACCTGAATCAAAGGAGAAACAGAAATAAGCACAAATTTAAAAAAAGATCATAACCACTAAGCCAGCATTACTATGGAAGGTACTTGAAAGGATCAGTCATACAGACAGAAAAGGAAAACAAGTACAGTTATGAAAAAGAATAAATGTACTAGAACAGCAGACAAGCATCAAAAGAACTAAGACTCAAACTTGATTAATTTTGTAAGTCGACAAAACAAGGGAGAAAGAAGTGATTGTAGATTATCTAAAACAGCCAGAATAAAAACAGAATGTCAGGAACTAGTCAATTTACCTTTCAAAATAACCCTGAATATACATGGTCTCAATTCTTGAACTCAAAGACACAGAGTGGTTGGCTGGATTGAAAAAAAAAAACAATAGACAACAATTTGTTGCCTATAAGAAGTTTACCTCACTAGCAAAACAATAATGACATTCTAGCAAATGAGATCTGAAACTACACTCATATCTGACTAAACAGACTTCAGGCCAAAATTGGTCAGAAGAGGAAACAAAAGAACTCACTATATACTAATAAGCAATCATTCAAGACTATACATATATATGTCCCATACTTTAGCTCACATAGTTTTAGAAAACAAGCACTGCAGAATATAAAGGGAGAGATAGGCCCCAATACAGTAATAGTAGGTGGACTTCAGAATCCCACTTTCATCATTAGATTAGAGACAAAAAGCCAGCAATTGGTTAAATTACATCGTACATCAAATGGACTTACTAGATATCTACAAACCATCATTAGACTATACTTTCCTCAAACAATGTTTTGGGCCACAAAGCAAGTCTTAACATGTAAAAGATTAAGTTTCTGTATCTTATCAAATCACAACAGAATTAAACTAGAAATCTTAGCAAAAGAAACTATAGCAAGTATATAAACATATGGAGAGTGAATAAAACACTTTTGCATGGCCAGGAAGATGGCTTAGTGGGAAAAGGCCCCTGAGCCCGATGACATAGTTTGATCCCTGGGACCCACATGGTGGAAGGAGAGAATGGAGTCCTCTAAGTTGTCCAATGACCTCCATACAAGCACTGCAGCATTTGTACACTCAGACCCCCACATGAATAAATAGATGTAACTAAAAAATACTTTTGAACAGAGTCACTGAAGAAATTGAGAAAAAATTTAAAAATCCAAGTGTCAAATAAAATGGGAACACAACACACCAGCATCTACACAATGAAAGAAGGAAGTTTATACCTTTGAAAGCCTATATTTAAAAAACAAAAACCAAAGACTTGAAATAACCTAATGTTAGAGCTCAAGGTCTCTGAAAAACCAGCACAAATCAAATCCCAAATTAGAAGAGGTAACAGTGGGAATAAATGACATTAAAGACTAAAAGAAAAAAAGGGTTAATGAAACAAAATGGGTTTTTTTGAAAAAAAATTAAAACACCCCCCCAAGGCCCGAGTCAAATTAGTCAAAAAGGAAGAGAAGACCCAAATAAAATGGAAATCAAAAAATGGGAATATTTTAACTCATACCACTGAAATCCATATGATGATTAGGGAGTATTTTTAAAAACTGTATACCCATAAACTGGAAAATCCAGAAGAAATGGACAAATGTTTACAAATGTATGACCCATCAAAGGTAAATGAAGAGGATATAAATTTTAAGTCAATAACAAGCAATGAGATTGAAGTAGTAATAAAACCTCCCAATGACAACAACAAAACAACTGGATGTAGTCACAGTGGATTTCTACCAGTTTTAAAGAAAAAAACTATCACCAATGATCCTTAAACTCTTGCATAAAGTAGAAGTGAAGGAACCTTTCCAAACATTACAAAGCCAGTGTTACCCTGATATTAAAACCTGATAAGGGGACACACACACACACACACCACACATACACACAAAGTAGTCCAACAATGTTGAATGTAGCCACAAAAATCTTTAAAACAATACTTTCAAAATTAATTTAACAACATATTACAAAGGTCATAAAAGATGGTCAAGATGGTTTCATTCAAGGGATGCAAGGATGGTTCTACATACACAACAAGCATAACAGAGCATGTAAAAAGAATCAGGGATTTTAAAAAAAAATCACATAACCACCTCAATAGGTGCCAAAAAACCCTTTGATAAAATCCAATATTCCTTCATAATAATAAACCTGAACAAACTAGAAAGTTCACACCTTAATATAATGAACACTATGTCAACAAATCTATAACTAATGCTATATTAAATAAAGAAAAATTGAAAGCATATACTCTAATCGAAAACAAAACAAGGGTCACTTAACTGTTCTGTTCCTGTTTCCTCATGTATAAAGTGGAGATAATAGTATTATCTTTTTCATGGTAAGGATTGGGAAAACTGGCTGCTGGGCAGTGGTGGTACAACCAAAGAAGATTTACATTGATTTAAAATAGTGACTGTTTCTTCCATTACACCAAAAAATCAGTGTACCAAACATTCTTTTTTTTTTTTTTTAAGCTAATGATTAAGCCAAGGGTCTCATGCACACTAGACAAATGCTCTACTACTGAACTATCCTCAGTCCTACCTTATCTCTTTTTAAATGGGGGAAAGGTGTTCATAAGATATAATCTTTGTATTTCAGGTCAAGCTAGAGTAATTGGTAATTGGTAACACACTTTACATAAAACAAAATGGACAAATGCAAATTAAAGTTTGCAGCAATCTGTACCCAACTGATACCTGAAAAAAGGGGACTCAATTGAAATAAGCCACATCACCCCATCTTTCTGCCTGGAGGCACATTATAGGCTACAACTCATGATGTTAGAACCCAAGCAGAGGATGACATTTCATTAAATTCAAGCAGTGAAAGTAGTTGCTCAAGATGGGCTATGCCAGGCAGACTATCAAGTTCTAAAAATCTGCACAGGGGTTTGCTTGAGTGTTCACCCAAATACTAAGCTGTATATGCATGATGTGAGACTCCACAAATTCAAGTAGGAAAACCTGGCTAAGGAATACTGAGGAGCTGTAAGATGAATAACTGCTGGGGCTTGCACTGAACTTGGAGACAACCAAGCGACCTCATTGAATACCTAGGGTTGATCAGCATAAAGACCTCAGGCAGGCCACTCATTAGCACTAGGTTAATCTAATAAGACTTAAAAATAAGCCTCTTTGAGGCTACAGAGATGGCTCAGAGATTAAGAGTACTTGCTGCTCTTGCAGAGGACCCAGGTTTAGCTCCCAGCACCCACATGAGGGGGCTCACAATCACCTATAAGTCCAGTT